CGCTGGCCTTTTTCGGATGAGTGTATTCCGTGGGAGGTGTGGACGGTCAAGGTGCACGTGGTAGCCCTGGCCACCGAGCAGGAGCGGCAGATCTGCCGGGAGAAGGTGGGTGAGAAGCTCTGTGAGAAGATCATCAACATTGTGGAGGTGATGAGCAGGCACGAGTACCTGCCCAAGATGCCCACGCAGTCGGAAGTGGACAACGTGTTTGACACAGGCTTGCGCGACGTGCAGCCCTACCTCTACAAGATCTCCTTTCAGATCACTGATGCTCTGGGCACTTCAGTCACCACCACTATGCGCAGGCTCATCAAAGACACCCTTGCTCTGTAGGCCTTGCTGGGGCCTTGGCAACTCCTTGATGGCTCTGGGAGTCTGATGCTGAGGTCTTGGGGCTCTGGAACCTGCTCTAGATTCTTGGTGAGACTTGAAGAGAAGTTCCGGGTGTCCTTGTTTTGTGGCTACCAGCCTCTGGTGACCCTGTCACCTTTGCAGTGGTTCCGTTCTGGATGCAACCTTTCCACACCTTTCCTGGTGGGGTCTCTTTCTACACTGTACAGAACTACCGTGAGGGTTGCAAATAAAGTTGAGATGTGAGTTTGGCTCAGCTGTCTTGGCTTGTGTCCTGCCATGAACACTTTGTGACATTCTCGTGAGGACACACGTGTGCCGAGGGCATTCCAAACTGAGAGAAGTGGGTTGATGCAGTTAAAGACAGGTTAAGATGATGGAGTTTATGATGTTGGGCATTCACATATGTAAGTGTCCCCCAACTGGGTGTGACCATGACTTGTCCAGTGAGTGGGCACAATGCCAGATGCTTTGTCTTTATAGCGCGTGCACAAAATTATTTAACTCTGGGTATTTAAGGAAAGGTGTGTCTTGGGATTGTGGTGTCCGATGACACTGCCCAAGTTGGCCTGCCTTACTTAGGGCAATGCTTGGGAACACACCCATTTTTACACAGGTGTGCTCTGTCTCCACCGCTACACTGTTCACTTATTCTGTAATTGGGGAGATCTAAGCCCAACTGAATGATCTGCCCTTAGGGAGGAACACTGAAGCTGGTTGGGTCCTGGCCATGGTCCTGGAGCGGGGAGCTGGGGTGATTTCCAGGCCATGCATGTGGTGTCCTCCTCAGTCTATGGGCGCTCTGGAGGGTGGACGTCTGAGGGACTTAGAGCTAGAGAAGGCATCTTTACAAGCTTCCCTGGCATGCTGCAGTTGGGGTGTTCCCTGTTTTCTTCTGAGGTATTGACTAGAGGTGATCTTTTCTGTTTGAGACATAATCTTAGCAGTGGGCACAGCCTTATGGTGATTCACAGATTAATAGAAATGGGTTAAGATGTCAGAGTTAGCTAGAAGCATGCCTAAGCTATTGGCCAAACAGTGTTGTAATTAATGTAGTTTCTGTGTGATTATTCAGGTCTGAGCAGTTGGGGAAATGAAAGCACAGTCTCTGCCTACAAGTGACGCCTTAACAGCTGGGGCTAACACTCATAGTCTGCCTTCCACTTCAGGTCCCGGTTCTTGTACACCCGCTCAGGTGTGCACAGCACCCCTGTGCGAGCAAACAGCTGGATGGGGTCTTCTAGGTGCGCACACTCCTTCCCAGAGTTGAGGTGTTGAGTGCGGCTCCTACCAGGCGGTCCCAGAACTGGCGGTAAAGGTACATCTACCATATTGAAAGACTGAGAAAGGGGGAGCCAGCATCTAGGGCTGCTGTGAACACACTGCTTACCATTTTAAAATGCTTCTTGTCAGAAAAGGATTTCAGATAGGACAGATTCAGACATAAAAGACCTCTAAATGATAAAAAAAAAGACCTCTAAATGAGACACAGTATGTTCAAAAAAATGTACATAGGCTTGGGAGAGGGAAGAAAAGGTATAAACAGTTATAAAAAGAAGTAAAGTCTTTAAAGAGACAGTAAAAGTAGTATAAAAGTGCAGCCATAGATTAAGGAGTAAAGAAAAATAAGCCATGTAAAGATGAAATATACACAGAGTCTGGATTATGTATATTATTATGTTTCTTTGATTTTTTTGACTTTGATTTTTTGAGATATTTGATTCTGGGGGCTGCTGTTAAACCAACATACATATTTTAAAGGTATCTTGACTTCAGAATTTGGGTCTAAGGATGTGCTGCTTTGGAAAAGAGGTTCTGCTTTTGTTTCCACAGAGGATAGAAAACTGTGGATTCCTTACCAGCTAATACGGTTTATCAAACAAGACCTCTTGAAGCAATGGCCCAGATGGTTCAACATCCATGATAACTTCAGGACTGCTGACTGAGATGGACCTGCCACATAGGATGCCCCATGAAAGACCTGATTAACAGCACTCCCGGTCAGCAGGAAGTAGTCTAGAGGACAACGCCCAAATTCCCTAAATGATTGCTTATAAATGTATATTTACATTTAAAGGGGATATGCTATAGAGATGAATACTTTGCATTGGTATGGATTTTGGTTTATTGATACAAATTTAAGGTCAGTTTTGTTATATATATATATATTTCTGCTCTTGATTAATGTGTTTATGCAATTCATTTGAAAATGTAATGCATAATTAAGAAATGCAGGTTAATAGATAGTCTATAATAGTCAAGCTTGTAGTCCATGTTAGGTTTTCTAGATGTATAGCGATATGTTTCAGATTTCAGATGGATAGGTATTTTTCAAACCTTTCAAAGACTAACAGAATATGGCATTTAAAATGTTTTAAGAACTTAGGCCTTTTCATGACAATGAGGCATATCTGCTCCTGGCAGCACCAATTACTTCAAGAGGAAGATGGGCATTGAAGAGGCTGCTTATGGAGTTTGTTAGCCTTTTGGGCAAGAAACTGCTCTTGCATGGACTGCTTGATGGTGTGCTGTTTCATCTGGAAAAATGACTGCTGAATTTGCCTAAAGGTGAGACAGTTCTTCAGGGTTCCTGCTTCATGAAAGAGTCTGCCAGACATTCTGCAGGATACAGAAGAAAGTGACTGACAAACTACCAATAGAGGTGAAACAGTCTTTCAAATTTCCTGCTTTATAGAAAAGTTTGCACAGATACTATAGGCCTGTAGGCTGAAGATGGATGCCCCAATGTATAGAAGAACTTTGGGTGACTGTCCAGGCAGTGAGATGTCTCTGTCAATTCTAGAATTTTGGAAGTTGCTTACAATGCACTTCCTTTTAATTTAGGTAATACTATATCCTTCTGGGGTCCTTGATGAAGTTGAAGAATAGATAGTTATAATTATAGTTTTCCTTAGTTATGATAAAAGATAAAGTATATATAAATATTGTAACTGTAAGTCTTGCTGATAGCTATTTTGTTATATGTAATTTTACTATGTTAAAGTTAAAACCTTCCTTTTTATTTAGAAAGAAAAGGGGAGATGATATGGGATTCACCTCTGTATGCTCTGAATATGTTTTATTTTTTTTTCTTTTTTTTTAAAATATTTATTTATTTACTTATTATGTATACAGTATTCTGTCTGCTTGTATGCTTGCAGGCCAGAAGAGGGCACCAGACCTCAATACAGATGGTTGTGAGCCACCATGTGGTTGCTGGGAATTGAACTCAGGACCTTTGGAAGAGCAAGCAATGCTCTTAACCTCTGAGCCATCTCTCCAGCCCCTCTGAATATGTTTTATTACCATTGGTTAATAAAGAAGCTGTTTCAGCCAGTGGCTTAGTAGAGTAAAGCCAGGCAGGAAATCCAAACAGAGATATAGAGAGAAAGTAGGCAGAGTCAGAGAGATGCCATGTAGCTGCTGAAAGAGAAAGATGCCAGCTGCCAGCCAGAACCTTACCGGTATACCACAGCCTCATGGTGATTCACAGATTAATAGAAATGGGTTAATTTAAGATATAAGAGTTAGCTAGAAGCATGCCTAAGCTATTGGCCAAACAGTGTTGTAATTAATATAGTTTCTGTGTGATTATTTGGGTCTGAGCAGTTGGGAAACGAAAGCGTAATCTCCACCTACAGACAGGTCTCTACATAACTGAGACGTTCCTGGCTGTCTCGGAACTAACTGGCCTCAGACTCAGATCCACTAGCCTCTGCTTGGGATTAAGGCTGTAACTTATTTTTTGTTTTTGTTTTTTTGTTTTTGGTTAGAGGTTTTGCCTATGTAGCCCTGACTGTCCTGGGTTTCATTCTGTAGGCCAGGCTGGCCTTGAACTCAGAGATCCTCCTGCCTCTGCCTCCCAAGGGCTAGAATTAAAGGCATGTGCCACCACTGTCTGGCTTAGTTGTTCTTTTTGAGACAAAGTTAAGTAGTCCGAGCTGGCCTCGAACTCCTTATGTATTCTGACCTTGGATTTCTTCTGTTCTGTGCTGGCATTGCAGGTGAATGCTGCCCTGCCCTATTTTATGCCATGCTGGGATTTGAAACACAAAGCCTTCCTTTGGACAAGTTGCTAGGCAAGCACTCTGCCAACTGAGCTACACCCAAGCCTCTTCACAGTGACTTTATTTTTGAAAAGGGAACTTAAGGGGGTTGAAGAAATGACTCAGCTGTTAAGAGCACTGGCTGCTCTTCTAGAGGTCCTGAGTTCAAGTCCCAGCAACCACATGGTGTCTCACAACCCTCTGTAATGGGATCTGATGCCCTCCTCTGGTGTGCAGTCGTACACACAGACAGAGCATTCATATTACAGAGAGAGAGAAAGGAACTTAAAATCTGCTAAAGGATTTTCCAGGAGACCTGGGCAGGCTTCTCTGCATCCAGATTGTGCTCGACTCCCCGACCCTGGCTAGGCCATGGATACCCAGCTGGCAGGGGCTGTCTTCTAAGACAGTAGCATCCCCATCATTCTGGAGCATTATGATTCTCCTGAGGTGGGGACAGTGGGCTAGGTCTCTGCTCTTTTTAAAATTATTGATGTTATTTTTATTTTAGTTTTTTGAGATGGGGTTTCTCTCTAGCTTTGGAACCTGTCCTGGAACTTACTCTGTAAGACCCGCCTGCCTCTGCCTCCTGAGTGCAGGGGTTAAAGGCGTGCATTGCCACTGCCCGGCTTAAATTATTTTTTTGAAATAATAATAAAATTACATCACCCCTGCTTCTTGTCCCCAAACCTTCCCATATAACCCTTCTTGTTCCTGTCTGTGCTCTCTTGTTGGTAAACAGGACTCCTTATCCAAGAGGACAGGAGGACATAGGTAGGACTTGCCATCAGGGTACCTTGTTCTACCCACTCTCTCTGCCCTGTGGTGGGGAGGAGTCCTGTGTTCTGCTTGCCTGCCCCGAGGGAAGGATTTCCATATTTGGACCCTTTGGGATACCTGTTTGGCCGTGTCCCTGGGGGCTAGAAGTGTTGAATGTCTAGTTCCTGGACAGAAAGCTCAGTGTGTTCAGGGCCTCAACCAGTCCCAGGAGGGGGCTGTCTAAATCTCAGAAGCTGAAAAGCCCCAAAAACACTGAATCTTGGTGTTTTTCAAGGCCTTGGGGACAGACCTCCTGGACTTACCTGGAAACTTCAAATTATGGGCATGGAATTGGAGAACAGAAAGGCTTAGCCTAAGAATCTGGCCTGTCAGAGAAGGACCTATAGGGTACTTGGAGGAGCCAGTCTAGGAGGGGCCTGAGTTGGGTAGAGTGGGGCGGTAGAGCCCTGGGAGACCCGCCCCTTGAATACATCTTGGGGCCTCAGCACTCGGGACAGTGTGCACATCTGCGACTGGTGGGAGCATGAACAGCTCACAGATGGGAGCTGCGGCCAAGGCTGCCTGGCTGAGCTGCTGTAACCAGTCTGGGCTGCCACTCCAGCCACCGGAGGGGCCACGACTGGTGCAGGCGGTAGTGCTGGGCGTGCTGTCCCTTCTGGTGCTCTGCGGGATCCTGTTCCTGGGTGGTGGACTCCTCCTCCGAGCGCAGGGCCTGATAGCACCACCGACTAGGGAAAGGCACGCATCCCCTGAGGCCGAGCCTGGTGCCTGTGGAGGGGAGGACTCCTAGGTGTCAGCCTGTCTTGAGAGGCTCAGCCCCTTCTGTGCCCTCCAGAGCCCATTTCTGTGCAGCACAGTGGAAGGTCCATTCCACAAACTCCCGTCTCCTGCACAGGTGAGAGCCGTGAGGCATAGGGAACGTGGGGGTGGGGCTGGGTGTGGGTGCAGCGATGGCCTGTACGCTCACCAGACCAGACAGCTGCTAGTCCAGGGTGAGGCTGGAGGGCCCCTTTGCCTCTGGTCATCCCTCCCACCCTGACTGTCCTCTGGAAACAGACAGCCCTTGTGCTCCCGCAAGCATAAAGGAAGAGACCAGAGGGGCCGGGTGATGGGAGTTCTTTTCTGGTACCTATGTGTTTCCCCATCCTGCATCTGCCCAGTCCAACGTGCAGTGTGCTGGGCTCAACAGGACCGTTCGTACTGGAGACTAATTCAGTCTGGCCTTGGCTATTAGCCTTTGTTCATGACGGGAGTGGGCAGACTGGAGCCAACCAAGGTGAAAGTGGAGGAGGGGAGGGGGAAGAGTCTTCATTCCCACTGGAGAGGAATCCCTGGTTGTTTGGGGGAACCTTGCAGGTAGAGAGGTGGCGAGGCCTCCTCCCGTGCCTCCTGCTCCTGGTAGCTCAGGACCAGCTGTGTGTTGGGGTGGTGACTGCAGGCATCCTAGCAGGAGCAGATGCTGCAGGAAGTAGAAGTGGGGCCGAGGGTCCAGCTGTGGGGCTGTTTCTGGGTCTCTGTCTCTATCTCTCTAAGGACGGGAACCATCTGGAGAGAAGGGCCTGGGTGGCCAAAGACAGAGTGACCCCAGTCCAAGGCCACCTCAGACTGAGCCATGAAAGGGGGGTGCTTCCCCTTCTCGTCAGCTGTGTGGGACTCCTGGGGAGTTCTGTGAGAGGCTCTTCCTGGCGACTCTCACCCCTCCTGCTCTCAAGTTACCACCAAGAAGGCAGTGGTGCAGGGTGCCTGTGAGGGTGACCTGGTGAGGGGCTGAGGGTGTGGGCAGGTGCAAATAAGCAGCTAGCTGTGAAGCCGACAATGTGTGATCCTTGCTTAGCAGCTAAGGGTTTGGCACAGGTCCTGGCCAGCTGTGCCACCCTGGCCTTGAAAATGGCAGATTACATCAAAGATGCCTCCCCCACTGCCTTGGAGTGAAGATAGTCCAGGGCAGGGCAGCGTGTGTGTGTGTGTGTGTGTGTGTGTGTGTGTCTGTGTGTGTCTGTGTGTGTGCACGCCCCTGGCATCAGGGTAGTGGGCAGCAGAGCCCAGGGAACTGTCCCCACTCACTTCCCTGGTGGTGGGCACCAGAGAGCTTCTGACCAGGCTCCCCTGAGCCTACTGTCTGATCCCCTCTGCTGTAGTCTCCCTCCGTGTGCTTCCCTTCCTCTCTTTCTAAATCCCTGCAACACCCTTCACTGACAAACAGGGAAGCTCAGAGAACATTTAGAGGGAGAGCAGACCCAGGAGACTGAGCTTGGAACTTGGAGCCCCAAGGTCCAGTTCCAGCTCTGCCATGCCCCTGAATGTGTCATGTGGGGCTCCAGCTTCCAAGCTCAGTCTCCTGGGTCTGCTCTCCCTCTGCTTCCCCACAGCTCTGTGAGATGCTGGCAGGGGTCATGCTTCCCTTCCCCCAAGAAGGGAGCTGTTACAGGCACACGTGCAACATTCAGCTTGACCTCAACCCTAAGCGTCATTGTCCCTGACCCCTCATGTCCCTACTTCTTCAGTGGCCTTGCCAGATACCATTTTGGTCCTAGAACAGTCTTCAGATGCCAGGAGACAACTCCTTACCAGCTGGGTGCAGATTTCCTGGTTTGAACCTGAGGAATGGGGAGGGCCTCAGAGGGTTGCTGAAGTAAACATGGATGGGAAAGATCCAAACCAAAGATCCCTGTGGTGTTAGGGATGTGTGGCGAATTGGATGGCAGGAAAGGCTGTGTCTCCAGCATTGTCTTGTCTGCTCACACCCAGGACTGTGACAGAGCTGGGAGAGGGGGTAGGCCAGCTTCCTGCCTTTGATGTCCCTTGGACTCGGTGTTTGGAATGGGTAGTGCGTGTTCAGAAGTTCGCTACAGATCTCTGATCAAGGCTATTGGGTGGGTGGGGAAAAAGAGGGGTTTGCTGCAGTAAGCTCCTTTCAGAATGGAAAGAAGGGGGGACTGGAGGAGGTCTGAGAGACCGAGGAGCGGCACCTTGGCTCCCAGTGCACTCTGTTAGCCTGAGCCTGTGCGACCACGGCTGGGGCAACCGATGGACTGGCATCCTGCCCTACCCTGTCATTGTGTACAGGGCCCTGTCTGATCTCAGCTGACTGCCCAGCTCCCTCCAGTCAAGATAGGGGCACCATGTCTTACAGATGCTGGAGCCAGCTGTGCCTCTCAGAGAGCTCTCCCTCCACCTGCCATCACACCAGGGAACCCCTGCCACCCACCCTCACCCCAGTTGTGATGCAGATGATGGGCTGAAGATACCTGGACTGCGGTGACTCCGCCCTCTGTTCCCTGGCACCTGGGGTGGGTCCCGGAGCCCCAGGCTCCAGTAACAGTGAGTCTGCTCTGGGCACTGAAGTGACTTTATACCCCAACCACTTGGACACTAGTGTGTCCTCTGCCCACCAGGCCCCTGTGGACATGAGTGAAGTTCCTGTCCTGCCTGATGCCCGACCATAGTGTCCTGCAACCCCGCAACCTATTGTAACCTACTGCCGCTGAGAACCGTGGGTTAGACCCTCCCATTTGGAGAGTGCATCAGCCACCGGCAATGTGCCATCGCTTTCCATGGCTTGCTATTAAACAGGCCAGCAATACAGTTCTGAGTGTGTGGTCTGTTTCCAGCCCTGGACCTTGGGATTCCTAGTTTGTCTCCTCACTCCCCTTCCATTTTCCTGCTTCTTGCAGATTGTTTGTTTGTTTGTTTATTTCTTATGTATTTAGTTATTGAGATAGGATTTTACTTCAATAGCCCAAGCTGACCTGAAACTTACTGTGTGCTCTAGGATGAACTTGAACTCACAGTAATCCTTCTACCTCAGCCTCCCAGGGATTACAGATGGGGCCACACAGCTGGTTTAGAACCAAGACTTTGTGAGGGTGGGTGTGATGTGGGCTGGAAGTGACTCTAGCGCCCAAATGTGATTGCGCTCTGACCTCTTGGTCAGTGTGATCAAGAGTTTGGCTTTATTCAACCTCTGACAAGAGCTGGGGAGGGGCACCTCTTCTATGTGGCTCCCATAGGCTCCCATGTTTGAATGCTTGCTCCCCAGTTGATAGAACTCTTTGAGAAGGATTGGTAGGTGTGGCCTTGCTGTAGGAGGCGTGGCCTTGTTGGAGGTGTGTCATTGGGAGTGGACTTTGAGGTTTCAAAAGACTTGAATTATTCCCAGTTAGCTCTCTGTCTGCCTGGTCCTTGTGCCTCAAGATGGAAGCTGTCAGCTTCTGCTCCAACACCATGCCTGCGTGTGCTGCCATATCTCCGTTCTGATGGCCATGGATTCGTCCTCTGAAACTGTAAGCCCCAATAAATGCTTTCTTTTAGTAGTTGTTTTGGTCATAGTGTCTAATTATAGAAATGGGGTTGTTATTAAGAGGGAGGGGAAATAAGGGGAAGGAAGAAAGGGAAGGGGAGGGGAGGCTTCTAGGGACACGCTTGATTTCTTTGTTTCTTCTGTAAGCACCTCCTGATTCCCTGTGCTGACAGCTGATGCGCTCTGGAGCTGGGCACAAGGAAGCAAAGGAGACAGCTTCCCCTCAGGAGCTCTCAGTCAGCTGGAGAGTGGGGTTCAAAGACTGAAGTTAAAATAGATCACAAGCCATGACCAGGTGGGGAGATGATGAAGGCCACTTCACAGCCCTGGTGCCTGCCTGGCAGCCTGAACCTGGTGGAGGGAAGAGAGCAGCCCAGTGAGGGAGGGGATGTCTAAGGGGAGTGAGCCCCGGGGCAAGGGAAGTCAGGTGGCTGGAGGCATGGACCCCTAGTGGGCGGAGCACATCCGAGGGTGGACTGGATGGACATGAAAAGACAGCAAGGACGTGGTGGCCAAAACCCTGCAAAATGGCTGCCACCGGAGCCCAGGATGCAGGCTTTGTCAGTAGCTGCATGGGAGGGGTGAGGGCAAGACAGGAGGTGGATGACGGCTGTGTCCTAATGTCCCACACTGAGGTGATGGATTGGTTATTCAGTCAGGACTGACTTTTCAGGTCTGACTCACAGAAAACAAACTGCTTGATTTAGAGAAGAGAATATACTGACCCACTGAAGAGTTAAGTCTGAGGACTGGTCTGGACTCAAGCCCAAGCCGCAAGAGCGTCCCTGCAGTCCGGCTTTGGAAGTGTCACCTAGCAGTCGACCCACGCTGCCTGGGTGTGCACTCTGGTAGTGCGTGTGGTGACTGAGACCTGAGAAGGTGCGTGGCTTCTGCGGACACTGCTCACTCCCTCATCTTCAGGAAAATAGGAGATGACTCAGGCTTGGTTTTTTTTTTTTTTGTTTGTTTGTTTGTTTGGTTAGGACAAAAAGAAGTTCACACAGTTAAGATGAATGCACAATGTGCTGCCTTCACCTGTGGCCTCAGATATGTCAGATAGCAGCCAAGTCCTGCGTCTGTGGTGAATGTACCTGAATCACTGTTCTCCTGAGAGTATAGAATGTTCCAGACCTTGCTCACACTGTCTATGTGCTTGACTTGTGGCTGAGAGATACCACAAACTACAGGATCCAAAACAGGGGCCTGTCTCCTCACCAAGCCTGGGCCTGCTTGACTGTGGAGCAAACTGAGGCTCTTGGCTGCCAGAGGGGCATAGGTGGAGGGGCTCTGCTCTCAGCTCAGCTCCAGAACATCTCAGGGACAGTTAGCTCCAGAACATCTCAGGGACAGTTAGCTCCAGAACATCTCAGGGACAGTTAGCTCCTGGACTGGAGCTTAGCAGAGAGTTCTGGGCCATGATATTGCTAGAGCCACACATGAAACTTGGGTGGGACAGGCTGAGGCAAAAGGTCAGAAGTGCCTGGTGTACTGTCACTTAACCGAAGGCAAGAGAGGAGAACCAGAGGTCTGGGAAAGCCGGGGATGCAATAGTCTGTGTTGGAGAAGAGTGAATTTGGGAACTGGGGGCTTGACTAGGAGCATCCATATCCCCTGCAGGCCTGAGGTTCTGGAGTAGGCACAAGGGAGGCAGTGCGGAAGACTCCAGCCCATCTGAGCTGTTATTACCTCCAAAGGAGCCTACACTCAGAAGTGGTGTTTTTTTTTTTTGTTTGTTTGTTTTGTTTTTTTTTTGACAAACTCCCGCTCTGTAGCTTGCTGGCTCATTTGCTATATAGACCAGACCGGCTAGGACTCTTCCTGTCCCCCAGTGCTGGAATAAGGTGCACATCACCATGCCTTGTTAGCCGTCTTTCTTCTTTCTTCCTCTTTCTTTTTCTTTTGGAGACAAGGTTTCTCCTTTGTAGCCCTTGCCATCCCGGAACTTACTCTGTAGCCCAGGCTGGCCTTGAACTCACAGAGATCCTCCTGCCTCTGCCTCCTGAGTGCTGGGATTAAAGGCATGTGCCACCACTGCCCAGCTGTCAGCTCACTTTTTATGAGACATTCCTGTCGTGTGTGAGCACATATATGTGTGTGCGGGTGTGTAGGTCACAAGGCAACTTTGGGTGTCTTCTCTATTACTCTCTAACTTAACTTTTTGGGACAGAGTCTCCCACTAAACTTGGATCTCTCGCCACTGTGGCTGAGCAGGTTAGCCACTGATCTGCAGGGAACTGCCTTCCACTGAGCCACCCCCTTCCCCGCCCCAGCACTCGGTTACACTTCTAGCTTTACTACTATTATTATTATTATTATTATTTTATTTTTTTTAAACAGGGTTTCTCTGTGTAGCCCTGGTTGTCCTGAAACTCACTCTGGAGACTAGGCTGGCCTCGAACTCACAGAGATTTACCTGCTTCTGCTTCCTGAGAACTGGGATTAAAGTCATGCACCATCATGCCCAGCAAAATTTTTCAAAAATTGCATCTTGATTTTTATTGTGTGCATGCATGTGTGTGTAGCATGGATTCTAATTGATCTTTATATAAAAAAAACCTGGAGTCAGATGTAGATAGGGCTTAATGTGGAAAGATGAGAGAAGCAGAGCAGCCAGTCACTAGTTCTTACCTCTACTGAATCCTCGGACCAGGGGTGATCCTAGGGCTACGAATCCTCAGACTGAGTCCTGAGCTTCTGTCTCCTGTCTTATATTCCTTTCTCTGTATAGATGTATCCCTTCCTGCTGGGAGTAAAGGTGTGAGCCACCACTGCTTGGCTGTTTCTCTTTTAGACTGATTCAGTCTCACGTAGTCCAGGGTGGCCTTCTACTCACAGAGTTCTGTCGGCCTCTGCCTCCCAAGTGTTGGCTTTAAAGCTGTGGGCCACCACTGCCTGGCCTCTGTGGCTCACTAGTGACTCACTCTACACTCTGATCCACAGGCAAGATTTATTTGTTAAAGCACAAACAAAATATCACTACATTTGTGTATAGGTATGTGTGCGTGTATGTGTGTGCATGCGTGTGCACGCGTGCGTGGTGTGTGTGCACGTGTGTGTGTGTGTGTGTGTGTGTGTGTATGAGTGCATGCTACAGCACGTATGTGGAAGTCAGAGGACAATCTTGAGGAAGTACTTCTCTTTTTCCACTGTGTCAGTCCTGGGTATTGAACTCAGGTTTTGGTGGCGGATGCCTTTACATGGGAAGCCACCTTGTAGCCCCGGGAATGTGAACTCTGGTCTCGATGCCTGGATGGTAAATAGTTTATCCACTGAGCTATCTGCCCAGTGCCTTGAAGGACATCTCTTTGTGTTAGGTGAGTGCTCTGCCGTGCACATGTCTCTCCAGTCTGCTCCCATGCTGTGGGCTCCCATGCAGCTTCAGTCCATGGCCCCTGTGGGATAGCTGACCCACGGGTCACTCTGTGTCTCACAGTTATGACCCCTCCCTCTCTTGAGAGTCCATGGTCACCCTGTTCTTTCAAGTGCTCACATAAAGCATTTTTTATTACACTTATTTAGTGTGTGTGTGTGTGTGTGTGTGTGTGTGTGTGTGTGTGCATCTCATGGCACACACAGAGAAGTCAGAAGACAACTTACAGGAACTGGTTCTCTCTTTCCACCAAGGCCCAGGGTTGTCAGGCTTCATGACAAGTGTCTTTACCCACTGAGCCGTCTCATGGCCCATCATACAACCATTTTCCTGACGGTCTCCTGATCCATGACCTCTGTCTGCCCTGTCCCTTAGTGCCTTCCAGTTCTGATTTAACAATCCATTACCGCGGTCACTCTTGCTGTACCCTAACTTCATTTCTTCCATAGAACCGTCCCAGAAATTCTTATCCCTAGCATGCAGCGTGTGTGTGGGCAGGTTAAGTCTGCAGCGTGTGGGCAGGTTACGTCTGCAGCGTGTGTGTGGGCAGGTTACGTCTGCAGCGTGTGTGTGGGCAGGTTACGTCTGCAGCGTGTGGGCAGGTTACGTCTGCAGCGTGTGGGCAGGTTAAGAATGCTTCTCTAGCTGCTCTGCAGAAGTCATTCATTCATTCAACACGTGTTTCCTGAGCACCTATGATGTACCAGGTATGACTCTGAACATCATGGGTACCACACGCAACCATGAACTTCATACACCAGGCACAACCATGAGCACCAGGCACAGACCCCAGACACAGCCATGGAGTCAAAGGCCCTGTTCTTCCAGGCTTTACATAACTTTGAAGAAAACTCATTCAATGTATAACTGAACATATGAAGGGAGGCTCAAGGGCCCCCACGAGGAACATCTGACAGAGAACCCAGTTGTCAGGGTGTCCTTCAGGTCTAGGGTGTCAGACCTGAAGGACGAGATGAGGCCTGAGCTAGTCCTGGAGTGGAGCTGAGCAGCTGGAGTGGGAGTAGCATTTTCAAAGGCCCATAGGACTTAGCAGGGAGAAGGAGGGGGAAGGGAGGAGGAGCTCGGGGACTGCGGGGGGCAGGGGAGTCTGGAGATTTCAGCCTATGAGCATGAGTAGCTTTGCTGTGCTCCTCTGAAGGACACCCTGAGGTGGCTCAGTGGTTAAGAGCACTTGCTGCTCTTCCAGAAACCTGGGTTCAGTTTGCAGCATCCACAACAGGCAGCCCCTACCACCCATAACGGTAGTTCCAGGATATCTTAACACCTTTTCTGGCTTCCACAGGCACTGCACGCACACAGTACACATATACACATGCAAAACACACATCCACGTAAAATATATCTTTGAAAAATAAAAGACACCATGATATCAGTGGAGAATGGTGGACTCAGAAGCTCCAGTGGACTTGGGGGCTGGGTGAGAGATAAGGCTAGTGATAGGACATGGAGCAAAACTCGACAAGAGGTAGAAAGGACCATGATGGAGGGACGGCCCCGGCTGAGGGAGGAAGGACCGCTGTGGAGACATCTGAGGGAGGAAGGCAGAGGACAGGAGCTGAGGAGTTATAGGTCACCACTCAGCGGCAGCAAAAGCA